TTGGACGCGTCTAGCAGCATAAAAAATATGTTGTTGTTGCTGCAGACTGGATAATGTTATGTAAACCTTGTTGCGAAAGAGATATGTGAAGCATATAAATTGTAGTGTTTCAAAAACACAGGACATTATTGCCATTAGGTTTAAAATAGTGAATAATATGAAACTGGGAGATTTATGACGTTTTGGGATACAGTATATCGATGTTCATAAAAGATTACGGCGGAAAGCAAAAGCTGAAAGTTAGTAAGTCAGAGAAGAATATTTTTGGAGGCATCATTGTAAATGTTATACCGATGTATATAACTATTATACACCTTCAAGAAAGAGAACTTAAATAATTTCCTCTGGAAGGATGTCAACACTACACCTTTTCACATATCCGTTGAGACATTGTTACATAACTATTTGACAAATCCCCCCCAACATATAATATAAATAAACAACATAAGGATTAAATAATAAAACATTATTCAGGTTAGGTTAGGTTAGGTTAGGTTAGGTTAGGTTAGGTTAGGTTAGGTTAGGTTAGGCTAGGCTTGATCACATGAAGATCCTCCCCCCCAAGTAGGTTTGGGGGGGAGGATCTTCATATGATCCCATTTATTATCACCAAACCACGTCCCAACCTCTTTTATATCATTGTTATGCCATATGGCATTACAAAAATTGTAACCAAGTCCCAGGTTGCTGATCTGACTTTCTGCCTCATTTACACACAATTGCAGGGTCTCAATTGTTTCTCCTACTTTGACAACACAACATACATACAGTATATCATTTCTCACTCTTGATATTTTTTATTTTTTTTTATTTGTGGCTCTTTATTATTATCATTATTATTATTATTATTATTATTATAATCATTATTATTATTATTATTATTATTATTATTATTATTATTATTATTATTATTATTATTATTATTATTATTATTTTCATTATTTTTATTTTTATTTTTTATTATAATTGTTATTTATTTTTATATATTTTTATTAATCTTATTACTATTATTATCATTATTATCATCACCTAGGGGATTTCAATGTACAGTACATCACAGAGAGTGGGCTTGGCTCTGCAAGGGATGACCCAGGTGGAGCTGAGGCACTCTCTTTTTCCTTACTTAATGATTTGGAACAAATACTCAAACACCCTACACGCGTTCCTGATCAACACGATCAACTTGCTAACATTCTTGATCTTTGTTTTACCTCTAACCCCTCACACTATTCATACTCAATTTTTGCCCCCTTAGGGTCTTCTGATCACAACCTTATTTCTATTAAATCAAACTGGGCACGACCACCTCCCCCACCCCCCTCTAAACGTCAACTATGGCACTATCGGAGGGCAAGCTGGCAATCCTTGCGAGAATTCTTCACCGACTTTCCTTGGGATGAATGTTGCTTTTCCACTCGGGATGCCTCAGTATGTGCTGACAGCATTGCTGGGGTTATACAGGGCGGTATGAGTGCATTTATCCCATCTTCTACCAAAACTTTCACATTACAATCATGGTTTGATCGCTCCTGCTCTCTTGCTTGCAGGGTGAGAGATAGGGCATATCGAGCTATGAAACTATCTCCTTCTCCTATTACCCACACCTCTTTCATTACTTCTAGGAATCGTTGTAAGGCTATTCTTCGTAGGGCCAAGCGGAATTTTATTAAAAGAAAGACTGCTGTCCTGACTAATTCTTCCTCTAGTAAATCCTTCTGGTCCTTAGCTAAAAACATCTGTAACAACTTCTGCACGCCTTCTTTTCCTCCCCTCTTCCGTCCCAATAACTCTATAGCCAACTCTCCCCCTGAGAAAGCCAACCTCTTTGGCACCTTATTCTCCTCTAATTCCACCTTAGACGATTCCCACTCTACCCCTCCTACCCCTGCACCTCCTACTGAACCTATGCACTTTCCTATAATCTCCACTCGCAGGGTTGCCGGTGTGTTATCCAGGTTGGATGTGAGTAAGGCGCATGGACCGGACGGAATACCCCCTCGTGTTCTGAGGGAGTGTGCTGAAGCCCTGGCCCCTGTGCTTGCTCGCCTCTTTCGCCTTTGCCTCAAAACCAAAACTTTTCCTTCTTCTTGGAAGCATGCCTTGGTTCAGCCCATCCCGAAGAAGGGTGACCATTCTAATCCCTCTAACTATCGCCCCATTGCCCTAACTTCATCCCTCTCTAAGATTTTCGAAACTATCTTGAACTCCCATTTTCTCCGTCACCTTGAACGCCTTTCTCTTTTGTCGGATCACCAGTATGGCTTTCGCCAGGCAAGATCTACTGGTGATCTGCTCTCCTATTGCACCCATCTTTGGTCATCTCTCTTAGGGATTATGGGGAAACTTTTGTCGTGGCCCTCGACATCTCCAAAGCATTTGACAGGGTATGGCACAAGTCTTTGCTATCTAAACTTCCCTCTTTTGGTTTCTCTCCCCCACTTTGTTCTCTCATCTCTAGCTTCCTTGAGAATCGATCCATGGCAGTTGTTGTCGAGGGATCGATTTCTCGCTCTTTCTCTACCAATAGTGGCGTCCCCAGGGTTCTGTTCTTTCACCAACTCTCTTTCTTCTTTTTATCAATGATTTACTTCACACTACAACGAATTCTATCCATTCTTACGCCGATGATTCTACTCTTCACTCTTCCTCACATTTTCCCCTTCCTCCTAACTCTCAAACTAGATCTGTTTCTAGAACTGATATCATTACTTCTATCAACGCGGATCTGTGCAGCATCTCTGAATGGGGAGATACAAACTTGGTTAAGTTCAATAGTAACAAAACTCAATATTTACCAATTTCACTTTGTAAAGTAGACGATCTTCCACCAATTACATTTCAGGACGCTATCATCCCCCCAAATTCTGAAATAAATTTGTTAGGCCTCACCATTTCCTCCAATATGTCCTGGAAATCACACACCCTTAGTATAACTAAAGCTGCCTCCCGAAAGTTGGGAATGCTGTACAGATGCCGCAGCTACTTCACTCCTGAGCAGTTGCTCCAAGTATATAAGGGATTCATTCGTCCTAACTTGGAGTACTGCTCTCATATCTGGGGTGGCTCTTCTGTCCAACTATTAGATAGGGTGGAATCAAAGGCATTTCGTCTTATTAACTCTCCTCCTTTAGTCGATAATCTCTCTTCCCTTTCTCTTCGCCACAATGTTGCTTCACTCTCTCTCTTTTACAGGTACTTTAACGGGCAATGTTCAGTGGATTTGGCATCCTGTGTACCGCCGGCAAGGCCGTGGGTTCGTAACACACGTCTTGCCCGCGGTGCCCACCATTTCTCTGTGGATGTCGGTCACACGAGAATAACCCGTTATAGTACCTCCTTCTTTCCTCACACAGCCAAACTGTGGAATGCTCTGCCTTCTTCTGTGTTTCCATGCTCTTACAATCTGTCTCACTTTAAAAAGCTGGTTTTCCGGCATCTTCGTGGTGTAGATTAATACAGTATAACCTTTTTTTCTATATTTTCAATTTCTTTCCGTTCTTTTTTTTTCGCCCCCCAGGCTCGTTGTGGGTCGTTTGACCTGTGCCCGGGTTGGCTAATTCCCGTAAAAAAAAAAGATATATTATGTATAGGGTTGGTCGTAGCTTATAGTCCCACCCAGGTCGAGGGTTCGAGTCCTGCTGGTGAGGTGGCTGATATGTCAGTCCGCGTGTTATATGGACTAAAATATACAGGGTGTTCTACAATTTCATAGAAACCATTTTATGGCCTCTGCATGACTACCATCTCAAATGGCAAAGATAAAACAAACCTATTCCTGCCACCCATCACCAAAGCCATTACAAGCATAACTCCAGTTGTGCTTGAACGTGTTTCTTTCAGCAGGAGGCACACAAAGAGTGTTTTCACCAGAATGGTAGTCATGTAGACATGAATATATAAATAAAATGATTATAAAAATGATGCCTTGTATGCATGGAAAATGTATAATAATTTGTGTGTATATATATATATATATATATATATATATATATATATATATATATATATATATATATATATATATATATATATATATATATATATATATATATATATATATATATTGATGTATTACTAATGCAAGGATTTTCTAGAATGTATTCCATCAGTTTTTGTTATTATTACTTACACATTGTAAGTCCCATATCATTCTAGAGCTAGAAGGTGCTACAATGCTCAAGGCGTCTGAAAAGCACCACCAAGCTGCCTTGGAGAAGTGGTCGCCCTTTTCTGCTCAGTGTGAAGTACAAGCCTAGTGACAGCTGAAGATAATTGGTGTTCAAGCATTGTGGAATTGCTGTGAGCGATATAAAGTGAAAAGTCTAAGGAATTGTACACTGGTAGTGTGCTGACTGTATATATAATCGAAGTGAGAAATCTAGTTGTGAAGACATAGCCTGTGAATGGTTTGTGAAGATTTACTGATTATTAAAGAAGACTACAGTTCACAAGAGTGTCTCTGTGACCTGGTGGAAATCTACTTGCCTGTTGTTTTGTCTGTAATTCTGTATACTGATATTGATCGTCAGGAAATTACCGAAGACTGGCGGGACAGCTATTGGTCATTCGAATACATATGTGATATATCTACTGCTTCTGTATATACGACCTGGCCGCTGGTAGCCAGCGGTGGAACCTGGGAAGCGGCGAAACGGGATCATGACATTACTCTAAGAGTTTCAAAATAATTTATTAACTCCTCCATTGGTACTAATCATAATAAAAGTCCCCTTAGCCGGAATGTAGAATAAATACCAGATTTGTGTGAATTGTGCTACAAATGGTAATTAAGACGTACAGTGTTGTAAAACTGTAAACAAGGCCTCTAAATCATTTATTTCTCAGCCAATACAAGCCAGTGAAACCTAACCACACATAAACGTCATAGGGTAGTTTTAGTCGGTTTAAATCTGGACGATTAATGTCATTACTTTCATAATATTGTACAGTACTTTTCGCCTGCTGATGATAATCACATTGTCTTTCATGACTTACTGCAGAACTGCAAGTACCAGTGCGAGACCCCACCAGAGGAGGACCCTCGAATCTGCCTGGGTGTTGATGATCAGAGTCACTGCATCGCCCTCAACCTCACCGACCAGGTACACCACACGTACACCTGTAAGGATGACTCTTATAAGAACACTATACTCTCTGCCAGAACACCTCACCCCATTGCCTCAGCTGTTAAACAACATTGTAAAACAGAAACACTACGACAACATTTTTCACCCAAACTAAATTCATCAACACTGTTATTCACACACACACACACACACACACACACACACACACACACACACACACACACACACACACACACATACTACTACTACTACTACTACAACTTTTTTCTTTTTTCTTTTTTTTTAAATGGCCTCCAGCCTCCCCCAATAGCCATACCTTCGCCATCATTTGATTACCTTAATATTAAATATCCTAATACATAAGTAGCTATCCTAGCTGTGTTGAGTTAGTTGATTGACTATGACTGGTGACTTACACATTCTGCACCAGTTTTAAATATGCCTGCCCTTATATGTCGCACTCCAAGGAGAGTAGCGAGTCAACATCTCATCCAGGCTGTAACATAACTTCTGGGCTGCTGCTTCTGTTCGGATATCACCTCCGTGAGTCTGGCGTAGAAGCATCTTACACTTGGTCCCATCCCACCAGAGGTTGTGAACACTAGAGGAGTGAAGCTGCCTTGATCAATGTTCTGAATTCTCTCCCCGTATGCCCTTATCTTGTCGTTCTCGCTCCTCCTGTGTGCAGCATCGAGAGCTAAGTTACGGTGACATGCGGCCATGGAATAAAAAATCCTGATGTCGAAGGAGGCTCGCTGTCCCGGCGTCCAGAATCCTCGAGCACTGACATCAACACGGGCTTCGTTGGATGTGTTTGAAGTCCTATGCTGGAAAATCTCACCTTCCAATGGAAGGAGGGTCGGTTCTACCCTGACATCACGGCAGATTTCCTTCAACATATTTGCTGTGAGATCCCTTACTTCGTCATGCCTCATGCATATGAAGCCCCCTTTCTTGCACATCATGGCGTGATCGACGTCATAGGAAGAGCCACACACGTATTGGGAGGGCAAACCTTCTACCGGCCTACAGTACCTTAGAGCATTGGCATCTGTAAATTCTTGTTTATTGAGACTGAAACCATTTGCCCTTACCGGTAACGTAGTTAACCAGTTCGAGGCGCCCACCTCCTGCTCTATAGCTACTTTTTTTTATCAAATTCTCTGGTACTTGCAGCAACAGTTGCTGCAACTTATCACTTTGGCCGCACTGTCGTTCTGTCGTAATGGACCTTCGAATCTTGTTTAGTTCACTGGTATCCACCTCCTCTGTTGTGTTCTGAGTTACTATGTGGTCTGTGAGGGCTGCCGTGAGCTTTACTGAGTTTTGATGCTCGGTGGCAGCATTCTCCTCTGGATTGGTCAATCCCACTCCTCCCAGTCTCGGTGATAGTACTACTACTACTACTACTTTGCTGTCACTCGGTATCTAGTATGACGATAATCCAGCTATGATACAATGATATGAGTTATTAGGGATGTCACCTACGTCAGTGAGCTCTGAGGTGACTAAAGAGGCCGATACGGGACAGGCAGGGTCATTCACAGATGGTGCACGTGTGGAGGGCTCCATCTAATGGGGGAGGGGCGGAAGCAGCGTCATTCCAGCGTTGGCGCTTGTCTGCCTCAGTATGCAGTCTGGCTAACTCGAAAGTATTGAGACCTTCTCGTGTGGTGCTCCTCCAATCGTTACGGAGAGGAGTAATCGTCTTCCATGTGAGGGGGGGGTCCAATGGTCCATTTGGCACTTTTTCAGATTTATCTTAAGAGTATCCTTATACCTTTTCAGTAACCCGACAGTGTTACGTTTACTATTCGTTAGGTGACTGTAAATTAGCGGCTTTGGCAATCAACTGTCGTCCATGCGGGTAACATGGCCGGTCCAACGTAGTTGTTCATGGATAATGGTAGCCTCGATTCTCCTACAGTTGGTGTCAGCGAGAATACTGTCATTTGTTCTCTTGTCTTCCCAGCGAACTTGGAGGATGGAACGTAGTCTACGTTGGTGAAAGTTTTCAAGTGCCTTGAGGTGCCTCCTGTATGTGACCCATGTCTCCCTGCCATATAGCAGGGTGGGGAGGGCCACTGCTCGATATACTTGTAACTTTGTAGATAATTTCAGCTCAGTACAGCTGAAAATACGGTTTTGGAGTCTGCCAAAGGCATGAGATGAACATCTGATCCGATGCTGAATCTCTTCATCGGTGTCCGCGGTGGTGGTCAGGTGGGAGCCGATATACCGAAAGTGGGTAACATTAGAGAGGGTAGTACCGTTAAGCTGGATGCATGGTGGAGGTGTGGCTAAGCCATAGGCAGGCTGAAAGAGAATCTGAGTCTTACATACATTCACCTCAAGGCCGAAGTGTTCATACTCATCTGCGTAGCTGTTCAGGATCTCCTGTAGGTCTCGTTCAGTGTAAGCGACAAGGGTGAGGTCGTCTGCATACTGAAGTTCAGCAATGGAAGCTGCCGACACCTTTGTCCCTACCTGAAGTCGTTTTATGTTAAAAAGACCCTTCACCCGGTACTGGATGCCCACCCTGCCGGCTAAATTGGCACTGGCACGAGAAAGGAAGGCAGCCAAGAAAATGGAAAAGAGATTTGGTGCCAGTATACAGCCTTGTTTTATGCCCGTTTGGATGGAGAAGAACTCAGACTGGGTGCCATTGCACAAGACCTGCCGTTCAAGTCATTGTGGAGATGCCTCACAATGGCAATGAGTTTTGGTAGGCAGCCAAACCGGCTGAGGATCCGACAGAGGGCTTCCCTGTTAATCGAGTCGAAGGCCTTGGTTAGGCCACTGAAGTCCAGGAACAGGCTTCGACGCTATTCTCTGCACTTTTCCTGTATCTCGTGGGCAGCATAGATCATGTCATTGGTGTCACGTGATGGTCGAAAGCCATATTGAGATTCTGGGAGGACGTTTTCCGCCTCAGGAAGAAGTCTGTTTAGGAGGACTCGGGCGATAATTTTGCCAGCTATGGACAGCAGCGAGATCCCACGGTAGTTGCCACAGTCTGACCGGTCTTCCTTGTTCTTATAAATATTGACAATGGAAGTGTCTTTAAGAGCTTGGGGGATTTCCTCCTTTTTCCATATATTATCCAGGAGAGAGTGGAGACGGCTGGTAAGCAGAGGTCCTCCTGCTTTATATACCTCGGCTGGGATTCCATCTGGCCCTGAGGCTTTGTTATTTTCCATCTGTTTGATGGCAGTAGCTATCTCATCCAGGGTGGAGGATAGCTGAGGTGGGTCAGCTCTGAATGCTGAGGGTCCTGCTGGGTAGTCAGGACATCCATATCGGTGTCTCGGTTGAGCAGCGAATGGTAGTGCTCTTTCCAGCGCTGAAAGATACCTTCTTTGTCTTTAATTGGGGAGTTGCCGTCGGATGCGTGGAGCCATGAGTGATTGGCCCATAAAATGGTTTAGTGGAATTGAAAAATTCGTGCATCTTGTGTTGATCTGCAAGTTTTTGTGTTTCACATGCTTTATATTTCAACCAGTCGTTCTTTAGATTGCAAAGTTCACACTGGGCCGCCGCTTTCTTCTTGAGGAAGTTATCAGCTTTGAACCGACACTGAGGGTTACTTTGCCAGTCAGTTAAAGCAGCATGTTTTCATCGATGAGTATGTTGATTTCCGGGTCATTTTCAACAAACCAGTCCTGGTGTATTCTTTCGATCTGGCTAAGGGTCCCTCTGCAGGTTTTCGTCATGACAGTGTCGAGAATACCCCATTCGGCACTGGGATTTGGGTTGTTTGTTGTCGGGTTGTTTATCAGCCCACGTTCGAGTTGCTCTCTGAAAGCATGTGTTACCGCTGGATCCTCCAGACGCTTAATGTTAATACCTCTTCTAGAGGCTTGTTGCCTTAGCCGTTTTGGGGCGACATGAAGTGAGAGCTTGGCTCTGACGAACCGATGATCAGTGTCGCAGTGGACTGAGCCAAGCATGGCTCGGGTGATGAAGACATCTTGACGATCTCTTTCTCTGACAATGATGTAGTCAATGAGATGCCAGTGTTTGGATCGTGGGTGTTGTCACGAACCCTTGAACTTGTCGGTCTGCCTAAACAAGGTATTGGTCATAGTGAGGTTGTGTGCAGCACACTTGCTAAGGAGGAGTCGGCCGTTGGGATTACACTTGCCTTGTCCATTTCTCCCTATGATTCCCTGCCATATGTCAGCATCTCTACCAACTCTGGCATTGAAGTCACCTAGAAGCACAACCTTATCTTCTCTGGGGATAGAGGTTAGCACTCTGTCAAGGTCGGTGTGAAAGGCCTCCTTGATGCCATCCTTTGCATCCTGTGTTGGGGCGTATGCACTGATGAAAAGGGCATGAGGTGAGTGATTCGATGGGACTCGGAGCGTCATGAGGCGCTCGTTGATCCCAACAGGCATTTCAGTTAGCCTATGTAGGATGCATTGGCGGATGGCAAAGGGCACTTAGATGGTAAAGTTAAAATCCACAAAGATCAACTAGATGTGAGACAGAGACTTGTACAGTACTAGAAAAGTCGAGAGTTCTGCACACAGTCTGTTGAAGGAAGGAGGAGAGCAGAGTAAATCTAAGGGAGTCGACAAGGATTTATATGGGCCTGCTTCATGGAAAATCGCGGGCTTGTAACGTCAAGTTTGCTATATCTTATGTTGTTTGGCTGATTGGTCATGCCTTCTGCTTTTTTCTATCTACTGTTGACTGTTTTCTCCGTGATTCTTCAGTCATTTCAAGTCCCAACGTTTTGACGCCTGTCGGTCACCCCCTCCTCTCACAAAATAAAAAAGACATGACTATGATAAGTTTCCTTGATGAACAGATCCTTACGAACGGAACAGTGGTATCATGGCTTGAGGAGGACACCTGTAGCCACACCTGGTATGACCTAATGTACGAGGACAAAGTGTTCCAGGGCCTCGCCTGCCCTTCACAGTGCTCTTTGGAGTGCCAGGTGAATGGAGCGCCGCCCTGTAATCATCCTGACGACCCTACAAACAGTTATAAAACCTTCTGGTTGTACTTTGGCATACGAATGGTTGGCACCTTCTTCATGTCGTCTGCTTTCACCATGTGTGTAAGTTGAACTTTTCGTTACATTTCATCACTTCATTTCCCTATAACAATATTACATTGTATTATTGTTATCAGTACTATATATATAATATAAGAATAGCGTTAAATGTTTGTGAAATATTTTTTTATCATTGCAGTGTATTTTAACCAACTTAGACCTCATTCACTAAATGGTCTTTGATAACCCTGTTTAACTTATGCCGAAAAACTAAGAATTTGTGCCGTAGTGATTGTGGCAGGGTCCATGGTTCACAAATGATGGGGATGAGATAATATATATTTCGCTCATGAAAGTGGACGTGTTTATTAAATGAAGTGATTTTGATTAAAAGGATGCAACGACCCTGGCACTCCTGAAACAACACGGAGGTCAGCTAGGCATCCAACGTCTTTACACCCTTTTGGGGTTCTCTGTGGGACCCTTGTTGGCGGGATTCCTCGTTGACAAATTCAGCACTAACTCAGGTTAGTCTTCTGCTCCACTAGATACATTACAAGCATTCATTTTTTACTAATCGTTTTATTGCATCTTGTTATTCAGAAGTAAGAGTACTGTACTCATACAAGTACTCTCACTTCAAAGTTATAATTGTACATAAACACCAATCAAGAACCATTGTGCAGCATTAAGTCGCATCCTCTTATACACGTACAAATAAAGGATAGACATTGATTTCACTCACATTAACCTCCATCCACATCCTTATTAGAAGTTTAATATTTGTGAAAGCGGGTCCCTTTGTCCGAAAGGCCCGTTAAGGGCAAGGCCAGTACAGCACACTAAGCCCTCACTACACAAGCAAACAGTGTGGCCAAAACAGCGCTTTGCCTCTTCAATCCCCAACACCCATATTAGGATTCCATTCACAGCTTGGTAAATTTGGGAAGCCAAGGGCAAGAACCAGAGACCCTTAAGACAAGGAAAAATTATATTCACTCAGGTGCCACACACACTTCAATGTCAATAAATTAATTCAAAAACCTATATAAGACGGCGTGCAGAAATTATAAACCTTTGCGCATTTTTTCTAGGGGATACGGGACGAGGGAGGCACCCAATACAGAATAACTTTCGAGACGTGCTGCTTATCCGTCAGAATATTAAGGTCACCCACCATACAGGATTATGGTGATTAGCCACAAGATCCATCTCTCTACAAATATTTTTTATCAGCCCTCGGTTTTAAAAAGGCTAAGGTGTGGTGGTATTGTATGGTGACCTGGAGTGTGATGATCTGAGTTAAAGTATTATCAGAAAATTGTGATGCAGTGGCAAAGGAAGAGCTAGAAAAGGATGGCGAGGGTTGTCAACAACCTCTGAAACACACAACCAAAACGACACACACATACAAAGAGTATATGTTCAACTTTACATTAAAGATAATTATCTTTAATGTAAAGTTGAACATATACATCTGGTAAAGGCGGTTATAATCGCCTTTACCAGATTAACTTTTCTAAAGTACACTGACCTGATGTCAGCAGGCTGTAATTGACCTCTGTCCCTTGAACTACCAACAGCTGTGCCAGATTACTCTTCGTCACTCTACCTGGGCTTAGTATTTGTCCTTCTTCAGCTCCCACTCGTCTCCAGACTACACTTTACGGTTAGTGATAAAAGTGACCACAGGAATATTATGAATAAAATTTAAACTTATGTTTGTTTAACCTCACATGTCATCATATAGTGATCCATGACACTTGAATGGATTATTAGTAATATGAATATCAGGTTTGTGAAATAAGCTCTCCAGGTCTCATCTTCAGTCATGTGTTGTCTTACGTGGTATTTATGACGTTGTCGATGTTAGGGTGTATAGATGGACATGTTATGCTACTGACGAACTGAGCAAGTTATGAATGGCTACTTGCAACTACAGGTAAAGTACTGCTTATGCTACTCCCGCTACGGCACGGTACAGTTAATAATACTCCTGTTAAGTCTGCACCAGGCACCTGCATTAATGTTCCTGAATCCTAATGTAAGCATGTGTGTGTATGTGCAGGTGGATATGGCAGGGGATAACGTGATGCGGCACCTGGCCAAGTTGATGACCCGGATGGAGATAAATGTATTCCTGGTGATGATTCTCCTTCAGGGTTCTAACTGGGGCTTCATCGAAAGCTTCCTCTTCGTCTACCTTAAGGAGCTCGGTGCACCTACTTATCTTTTAGGTGGGTAGTTTTATTTGTCTCCTAGGTAGACTTCTTTTTTTTATAATGGATTTTTTTTTTGTAATTGACCTGGTCAATAGGATGACGGTTTAGGTTTTACAAATAGTAGTCTTAAAGTATGAAACTGTTACAGACCAAAATATTAAGTCTTAATACGTCATTCTTAACAGGAGCAGCAACACATACAGGTACTGCAGTAACTAGTAAGCAGACTGGCTACAAACGGAATAGAGTACATATTAGGTTTAGCCAGACGACCCTAACACAGAAGTCTGGCCACAGAGAAGGAGTCATAATGCTTAACCACTAAGTTTTAAGGTTGAACCCTGTCCTTGTGAACAGGTTTGACGTTGACAGTGGGGAATATAGTGGGCGCCCCGCTGATGATCATTCTGGACAGGGTGGTGGATAAGCTCAGCCGTCCTGTCGTCTTCACCATCTCTTTCCTCACCTACTCTGTCAGGCATTTCGGATACTCCTTCATAAAGTACGTATCGCTGGTTGATGAAATTGCTGTCAAAAGTAAGGTACGTGGCAGCCGAGTAGATACATGCTCCTCTTCTATCTAAAGAGTCGCAGGCTCGTGCTTGAAGCACGCCCAGTCCACCCCTCTGTGAATGAGTACCCTAACTTTCCAATTAGGAAAGTGAAGCTGGTCAAAGGCAGTACTGGACAAATCCTTCTTGTGTACAAAAGGCCTAATAGCCAGTGTTATATCCACACAGCCACTCACTGATCACCAAGCATAAAAAACTGTACCAACTTTCACTTTATCTTTGTTCAAAATCACCAGTAAGTCACACCTTATGATTTTCTTAGATTTGAGGCATAACTAAAAGGTAGCAACTATAAGTTTGTTAGAACTAACAAAAAAAATGTTCTTCAAGCAGCTCTAGCAATTAGTCAAATAAAACTGGTGTCTTATTTGTAAAAAGATAAGCACTTGAGTACGACATCCACCATTCTGCTGATGACAGGAATAATAAAATCTTGGGTTACTGGCTCTTGTAAATTTTAAATACTTTTGGTACCAAAACTGTAAGGATCGACACATACTGTACCTCTTAAGTGAGCTCGTATTGCCAGTTGTTGCACCAAACTCGTCCATAACAAGCAAAACTCACAGATTATCAATATTTATCATGTATTGTAAAGATAAGGAATGTGAAAGTTTAGGCATATTTGTTACTAGAACCATTAATATTGACACTTCTACTGGTGCAAATGATCACAAACGATGAAGGGTATAAATGCCCACTCGGACTGTATGGATCAATATTTACCCTATAGCACACAAGTGAATTAATGCATTGCATTATTTTTTTTTTTTTGGGGGGGGGGTCAGGGTCATGACGATACCTTTACACAGCCCCCTTAAGATTCATAAGCCTTTTCTATTTCTTTTTATTATGTATGGCAGCTGTGATAATTACCTTTAATTCTGCAAGCCAACTATAGGAATTACCATTTATGTAGACTATAATAAGTATCCTCGCCATCAGTGACCCATGGTTGGCCTTCCCCTTTGAAATCCTTGAAGTGTTCACGTCTCAACTTATGTGGTTGGCAGCACTCTCCTACTGCCCCATCCTCGCACCTAGGGGCCTCCTTGCTACCATGACTGGCCTTGCTGGCTCAGTGCACTACTCCCTCGGTGAGGATAATAATTATTGTTTTGTGTGGTCTTATTGTGTTCTGTACAGTATCACCACCAGTCTTTGTAAATGTATATACCAGTACTACAGTATATCCGTTTTTGTAACTACATTAATCTTTATAATTACCTTTGCCTGCACCTGAATATACCAGGCATACCATTGTTTGTCTCTGGGCTTAATCTACTGTTTTTAAATTTAATTAAATGAAATATAATGTCTCCATCGCCTGCTGCAGGTCGCGGGGCAGGGTCTTTGCTGGGTGGGGTCCTCATCAGCACCTACGGCACCACCTCTGCTTTTAGAATCTTTGGTTACATGTCCCTGAGCTGTGGGATCCTCTACTATATAGCCCACCACTTCTACCTCAAGGACAAGTTGGCAGCCAGAGGTACAGGATGCATTTCATAATTATTATTTTTTTCACTCCTGTTAAGAATATCCAGTTCTGGCTCACTTTAATGTATGTAAAGATATAACTGCTTGAAAACATTAACTATCAAGATATAAGATGAAAAAAGTTTTAAATGAAGAATTACCGCAAAATCACAAACAAATTCACATTCACCACTCCTGCACTTTTTCTTCCTTTACAAATTACTATACAGTATTATGTATATCAAGACAAAATGACACCAAACAGATAATAATGACCATTTTATAGAGTAAAATCAAGTGTAAACATCGCATATTCCCATAAAGGTGTCATTTATGACAAACATTACAGGGAGGTAGTGCATTTGGTGGAAGAGCCACTCTCCTCTCCCAAATTGGCTATTCAGCAGGAAATATCCTTTATTTCAAACGTTGTTCCCCCACTTACATCTTGAAAACTAATGTTTGCAAGCAGTTATATCTTTACATACATTAAAGTGAGCCAGAACTGGGTATCCGTAACAGCTATAATTGGATTTATTTGTGATACAGTATACAGTGGTACCTTGGTTAACGAACGGTTCTATTAACAAATTAGCTCCCATAAGGATTTTCCCTTCGATTAACCAACAAAACTTCTATTAACGAATTCCTTACGACAAACAAGTGTTGTTGTGCGCATCAGCTGATCAGCCAGTCCGCCAATACAGCAATCAGTTCTGTTTACATTCGTTTCCAGTGGAGTACTGTATATCAAGAAAGTTGGTCTCTTGAATATTTCTGCATTTTTTATATTAAAATTATTGGTCATTCTGAAATGTAGTTAACATATGGATAATATATACAGTACAGGGAACAGTTTTTGTGCACCAATCAGCTTATTGGATCACCCAACAACTCTTCACAGTTTAACTTTGTTTACAGTGGAATGAACATTCAGTTTGTTGGTCTCTTGAATATTTTTGCATTTTTACATTAAAATGATTGGTCATTCTGAAATTTAGTTAACATATTAATAATATACAGTGCAGAAATTATTATGAAACACGAAGAAGGCATTAGAACCAATGCACTCTGTAAAGAATATGGCATGTCATCATCAACTGCCTCTCCATTCAGCTGTTTGATATGTAAACAAAGCTGCCGGGAATACGACATACACACCTCAAAGTAAGTTAAAATACAGTATTCTAATGTTTTTATTTATTATTGTACAGTACAGTACTGTATTTAGTTTATATTTAATGTTTTGTTAATTCTATTACTGGTATACTGTACTTAGTATGTATACTTTTTCTGTGAGTTGGAACCAATTACCCAATATCCCATTGAAATAATAGATTCGGTTAACGAACGACTCTGTGGAACGAATTGTGTTCTTTAACCGAGGGACCACTGTATTAATATTAATCAAACATGATGTCTGAGCAAATGAGATGCAAGGGAGCAGGGCTTGTACCATCAGGAAAAAATAAATAAAATTTAAATATGAAACCCCTACTGTTTCCTGCAAGTGGTATTATAATTGAAGAGAGCATGTCTCATTTGAGGTTATTAGTGCTGGACACAGTGCAGTGTTGGCACAAGCAGCAATAAGAGAAGTAACAGAAATGCCAAAAGTAACAATAACAATAGTAGCAGACGCATAAGTACCAACAATACCGCAGTAGTAGGTGCATGTGGATCAGCTTTATACTAACCAAAATCAATTCCCTAACAGAGGAAGAGGAGGAACTTCCTGAAGAGCAAGTGGAAGAGAAGAAGTCCATGTTGGAAAAGAGCTCTACACTAGGCAGCACCTACGAAATGGCTGCTATCACCCACTGAGGTTCTTCTCTACCACCAACGACTTCCTACAAATACTGTACTCTCACACCCTTCACTCAATCACATTTGTATGCATCATGTTCTTAAAAGTCTTAAAAGTCATTGCTTCAGCATGTACTGTACAGTTGCAGACTAAATTCCCTGAACACTTGGCAACAGGTAGTAGGCAGCTACCAAACAGGGAGGTACTGTGGGGTACGTTATGTTTGGGTTCACACTCAGGATGGAATGGAGAAAGGAAACTCACAATGTGCCCTCTGTATACATGTTGTATTGGATGGACAATGCAGCTTGGTGCTGGGAAGTGGCAGCGTGGCTACAAGCGTGATGTAGAGAGAGCTGGTTGGTGAGGATGCGGGAGCGAGGGCCGCCAGGCAGCGGCGGAGGAGGTGGTGTTACTTGCTGCGGCTGTAGCTAGAAGAAGAGGGAGAGGTCACCACGAGGTCAGGTCTTAAATAGCGGAGGTAGGCGTGGCTTAGTAGTTGACCTCCGTCATGTAAGGCGGCGCTGGTTGACTTAGACCACGAGGCATACACTGGGGAATTCGCGGGGTCGGCTACTCAGCGACAAACAGCGTTTGTAGGGGAGAAATCCACTACAGTACTACCGCCTGGGAAGATATTGGAAGCATAATGTGTTGTCTAATGGTAGAGCCTGCTGCCATATGGCATTGTAAAAATTGTGACCAAGTCCCAGGTTGCTGATCTGACTTTCTGCCTCATTTACACACAATTGCGGGATCTCAATTGTTTCTCTTGCTCGTGACAACACAACATACATATATCGTTTCTCACTAATGATCTTTTTTTTTAATTTCTTTATGGTTCCTTATTATTATTATTATTATTATTATTATTATTATTATTATTATTATTATTGCAGTGTTTTCATTATTATTATTGTTATCATTATTATTTTATTTTTATTTTTGTATTTTTTATTATAAATTTTACTTATCTGAAATATTATTATTATTATTATTATTATTATTATTATTATTATTGTTATTACGTTTGCGCCCCCCGGTCCCTGATGTGGGTCGGTGACCTGTGTCCGGGTGGGCTAATACCTGTAAAAAAAAAAAATCTAGCAGCTTTTACTTCTTGTCATACATAATATGTCAGAACCACAAAACGAAGAAAAAAATCTTGAACACAAAGAAAAATTAGCAAATACGTTAAAATTCCAATCCCCCCTCTTATGATTCTCAAGTACTTACATGCCAGATATAGTACAGTACTGACAAGTGTCCAGTGAATTTTGTCTGCAACTTTACACAAACAGTATTGGTACGGCATACAAACAACACTGTACTGTTGTAGTGGAAATTTCCCCTACAACTACAACTGCCGTTTGTCGCTGACTAGCCGACCACTTTTCGAATTCCCTAGCCAACGCCTCGTGGCCTAAGGTCGGCCTCTAGCGCCTCCTAACAAAGCTGAGGTGAACTATCAAGCCACGCCTACCCCGCTATATAAGACCTCACCTCACCGTGAACTGCCCCCTTCTTCTACCTACAGCCGCGCAACAAGCAACACCTCCTCTGAGCACAACAGCACTCTCTACTCCACGCTTGTAACCATGCTGCCACTTCCCAGCACCATGCTGCACTGTACATCCAATACAATATGTATACAGAGAGCGCATTGTGAGTTTCCTTTCTCCAACCCATCCTGAGTGTGAGACAACATCACGAAACTCCACACTGTATATACAATTAAGGTATAATTTACAATCCATGGTAAACAAAGTTTTCGACCGATAAATTGTAAGATTGGTGGATCATTATAACTATAAAATATTCATTGTACTGTAACAAATTACTCTCTCTTGGTGTAGCCTCGTGACCTACATATTCTTATATTATAATTTTGATACTTGAGAACTGAACCTCGGCGAGGTAGGTTCTCCCGGCTCCACGCTCCTTCCTCCCGAGGTACCACGTGACCATGTTCACCTTAGACCAGGCGAAGGTTGTTAGACTGATTCCGGTCGAGTACCCTTCGCGCAAGAAACTCAATCTTCTTGTCATGAGAAAATTTTTTGACCACCTCGGAATCACGGGGGTGACAGGGGTCGTCCGCAGTAAAGGCGGTACCCTTATCATCACCTTCGAGGAATGGGGACAGGGCCACAAATTGCCACCCCTTACGAAACTCAATGGAGTCGACGTCATTTTTGAAGCCTGCCTTCAAGACAACTTGGTTTTGGGAGTCATTTCCCACACAGAAATCGAGTATCTGGAAAAACATGAACTTGCTGAGCTGATTGGAGATCAGCTCTCAATTGTTCGGAAGCTGACCAACAACGCTGCCCTTGTTGGCTTCCCAAAACAACTTCCTAGCTCCGTTTTACTGGGTTGGGAGAAAATCCCAGTAAAACCATACCAGCAAAGACCCACTCGCTGCTACAAATGCCAGAAGTATGGCCATCTGGCGCGAAAGTGTCGTGCTCGGGAGGTGTGTTCAAGCTGCGGGACACCCGGCCACACTGACGCTGACTGCCAGGCGGCCGCGAAGAAGTGCGCGGCTTGTGGTGGCCCTCACTCCTCCTCCGACCGGGAGTGTCCCAAGTGGAGGGGGGAGTGCAGGGTGGCCAGGCTGCGGGCTAAAGAGAAATTGACCTACAAGGAGGCCCTCCTTGTAGTGAAGAATCAAGAAAAGAACAACCAAGACAAGAACAACCAAGACAAGAACAACCAAGATAAAAACAACCAAGACAAGAACAACCACGAACCCGATAACATTACACTATCTTTGACATCGATTATTGATGTGTACGAGAATATCCTAACAGAAGACCAGAAAGAAGAAGACCAAAAAGAAGAAGACGAAGATCAAGAAGAAGAATGGAAAGTGAAAAGTAAAAAAAGAAACAAGAGAAAAAAGAAGTCCAACCAATCAGCTTCGGCCGAAATAGCCTAACGGCGAAGAGGCCAGTAATCCCCAACAACTTGAACTTGAACTTTTGATTTATTAATATGTATACTGTATACTAGTTTTATACTAAGGTAAACAAATCTTTAATTAATATGCTTAACTAACCTCATATGTAAAGTATTATGAAATACTGTACATATATAATTTAGTGTAAATTATTATAGGACCTCATATCGGGTTAAACTACGCAAAGTATTACAAGAAATAAGATCAAATGACAAAAATTAATAAACATTAAAAATTAAAAATTTTCGACAATCTATTACCCCAAAATTACACAATACACATTCATAAAGTTAATAACATTTCACTCCCTCAGTCATTCACACACTACACTGGACCCTAGGGCTCTCACTATCAAACACGGCAGGTCTTCCATGGGTCCAGTTCCCTCCTGTACTAACACTGGACAATGAGTCAAAGTAACAAAGAACAGACCAACTAACCAAACATCTAGTAAGCTGATATTTGGTGAAATGATAAATATTGATACATAAAAGGAATATTATTTGGTTAGGGGTAGTGAAGGAAACACGACTAGTAGATGAAGTTTTATCCCTGACATTTCGTTTCATCTCGTAACGAAATGAACCATCAGGAATAAAACTCCATCACTTAAGTGTTTTCCTCACTACCATCTGTCCACCATGAACAATATTTATGTATTATCTTTTTATCAACTCTAAAGATCTGAAGTTCTGAATGACAAGTAGAAAATGTTACTTTATTTGACTCTCAACTTGTACAGCAATGGCTCATGAGGGTTGTAAGAGCTATGGGAGTAACTGTACAACACACACACACTCCGAAATGTAATAACAGTGTACACCCTCACCAAAAAGTATTGGTGCAGGGTATGATCGACGACTTTCGAAACGATACGTATACACTGTG